TTGTCTTTAGTGTGCACAAGCTTCATTTAACATGACATTTGTAACTTATACAGAAGATAATCAAAAATTAATTCATGAATTCATAGGACCTGATCCCGGATATATTGGAACATCAAAATTGTCAATTGGTTGTGCAATTATGTTATTGAAAGAGAATGATCGTTTACCAGCTCAGTAAGAAAAATTATTTATTTCTTTGAATTTTTTTATTTGAATTTTTTATTTTTCTAGAGGTGGTGTTTTTACACCAGCAGAAGCATTTGGACGTACAAGTCTTATGAAATATTTAGAAAAAGAAGGTTTTTCCTTTATTCGAAAGTAGATTTTAATTTGATTGATTGATTGATTGATTGTTTTTTTTCTTTAAAAAGTGCATACGCGATTAATATAAGCCTATTGCTTGAATAAATTAGAATTACAAATATATTTCAAAATCATGTAGGGATGAGATAGAATAGATTAATATTTTGCTTTTTTTGTTAAACTAAAGAATACAATATATCAATATAAAAAAAAATCTTAACGTAATAAATATATACGATATGATGTTCAAGCATGAATTTCCTTTTCAATTGTCTTCAGTTTTATTGCCATCATTGAAAATGATTGTAGTAATATTAAAGCAAAAGTATTTACGGAAGAGCAGGACGTATGATAATGGATGTGCATAATTTTGATAGAGAATATAAAATAAGAGAAAGATGCTGGAAGAATTTCTTAATATAATGAATTCGTTTTTCATTCAACTTACGAAGGAAGTACTTCAGCTATAACACGTCATTTAATCTCATATTAAACCCACGAGTGGGTTTTGGTAAGACTAGAAAAGTCTAAAAGAGTTCGTGTCTACGTGCCTTCGAAGCCAAGTTATGGCCATTTTAATAAATTTTCAACTGATTTTTAGATATCAACTGAAAAATTAAATAACAGAATGTCAACCTGAAATATTAGCCATACATAGATCTAATGATTAGAAATGAACAGGTCATTTAAAAATTCCATCCGCCACCGCCTCGTCTCATCTTATTAAAAAAATATTCTGAAAAGCGTATTTTTTTAAAATTTTCGAGCCTCGATGTTAAATACATTACGTTGCAAATAGGCATGCATTTAGCTATTCGGGAATAATTCTCATAATTATCGATTTTTATCGCAGCAAAATTTTTTCATGGCTGTGAACTTGAATGGGAGAAGTCAAAATTTACCTTTCAGCTCGGCATTGTGGCGATCACAAGAGCCCAAATTAATTACTTTGAGTCTGGCTCATTTTCTAGCTCGTTTCTAATTTGAAGCTTTATTGTATTATGTTTTAGGACATTTTACATTCCCTTGTCAATATGAAACCTTTCTATGTTAATAGTCCATAAGATTATCAAAGCAGATGATGTGATGAAAAAAACAATAAAAAAATTTATATCATGTTGCTGAGTTCGAATGCGTTTCCAGTTGTAAACAGCTATATTCAGTGGCTTTAAAAAATCAAAAAACTTCCATGACTTTCGTGAATTTTATGTGAAAAGTATGAAAAAAAATGATTTTTTAATGATGCAACGGATATAAACCTTTATATTTTTTCGATTTCATCATTAAAAGCGGCAATTTAATTTAAAAAATGCAGTGATTTTGATATTTAATGAAATCCATGTAATGAATTTGGTTAAAAGTTAAATTCATTGTATGATTTTGGCGTTTAATCAAATTCATTGAATGACTTTGATTAAAAAGTCCCTTTTAAACAATAGATTTGAAAAAAAAACATCAAAATTTATGTCCGCTTCATCGTCAGAAATGCCATTTTTTTCATGTTTTTCACATGCAACGTACGAAAGTCATGAAAGCGTTTTGATTTTTCAAGCCACAGGGTACCAAAAGAGATACGGCAGTCTATATGGTGCAGTCAATATTGGATCACCTTGAAGTGATCTGGTCGGGATCAAATCGACTTGACGCGGCTGCATATGAGAATCTTACCGTCGTGTACTCCAAGAGTAAATGCTATTGATTCAAATTAGACTGGAAAAACAGTAAATATTCGTTTTCCAGAAAGAAATAGATGCACTGAAGAGTAAATTCAAATACTTTTATGTGCTGTAAATTGTGTCTCGAAATACGACACATACAACATTTTTTTGTATTCGTGTAAATGCATACTGTTTGTAGATGTATTGTTGCAAAAGAACTGGGAAAGAAAAAACCTATTGATTTGATTTTGGACAAAGAAAGTGTTTCGGATACATCCTGACGCGAAGAGATAGAATTTACTCTTTCTGATTTGGATATGAATGCTTTTTTCACCAACAGGTACATGCTGCCCCAGCCATTAGTCTAAATATTTTGAAAAATAAATATATCATTACGTTTTTTATATAGATTCTTAATCACCATTGGTGAATACTTAACATACAATTGGTTTGAATATTTCAAAAAAGAGACATAATCTCTCATTTCTTATTTCTGGCTTTCTTAGCATCATGTGGTGATTTTTTGTTCGGATTTATCGATTGATATGAAACTCGAAATGAACTGCTACTATTAGGGAAAAGCAGTAAGTGATATTCGTTAGGAGAATTCATTAATGATATGCGTCAAAAATTATATGCTTATATAAGGAAAGACAAAGAGTAATCTTTTGTTATACGTTCATACAACATTCGATTGAGAACTAAGACGATTTAATGTAGTATATAGATCGGCTGAATATATGAGCAAATGAATGAAGTAATTTTCATGAAAATACTCTGTAGTCTATTCTTCCTCAGAACATAACATATGAACAACGCTCGGTTAGCTTGATCACTTGGAATGCCGTACATAATGGATTAAAAAGTCTCATTTTATTAATGAAAGACTTCCATCAGTCAAAACGACAAAACAGGTAATATAAGATTAATCTCACGTTAATTAATATCAAAACAGCATAAAAAGTTAGCGGCTAGTTTATTCAATAATCTAATACAAGCTTGATTCGAGTAAAATATAAATATCTTGTAGGGAAAAGCGATCATTCATTTTTTCATGAGATATTGATTTTCCCATATTCAACATTCGTAGTTTCGCACTGTATTTCGCAATCGAATGAAGTTCGAATGCTGCTTCATTTTATACAAATGTACTACTTAAAATTTCTATTGCAATATTCAGTATCGAATTATTGAGATATTTAATTGTTATGGAATGTTGTTTCGCAAAACATCATGATCCTTCTCGGAGTCATTCAGAAAATAGACTTTCAACTTGAAACTTTATACAGAGAAAAGTCTCAGCATCAATCACAGTATGAGATACTGATTCACATATTTTAGAATAGAAAGAAATTAGAAACCTGAAGCCTTCGGAATAAGCTGACTTCATGAAAATTTTTCTTTGTGCAAAGTTTCAAGTCGAAAGTCTATTTTATCCAAAGAAACCTAGTAGAATCTAGAATTAAATTAAGGACTTAAGATCTGCATGATGTACATAGTTCGACCTCGTTAGTGAATTAACACCTGGGACATGCTTTGTTTAGACAATTACAAACTGTCAAAATTTCTTGTGATTTATTACTGATCTTATTTGAAAGGCAAAGTAAACAATGATAATTGTCTTGTGTACTCCATAAGGTTTTATTTTTATTTCCTTAATTGCAAACATAGTTAATTCAAAGGAAGATGCCTCAACATATTCAATTACGAAGAGAAACTATCTGCTGGATATATGTTTGTTTATATTATATATTCCTATCAGTCAAATATGACTGTGTCATTTGATTGTTGATGCTCTGAAAAATGTCAACTAACTGGGTTATCCTCATCTTAATATGCCTTTCGTATGCAAGAACTCAATCTCAACAAGCATTTCGTGAATATATTATTAAAAAAGATTTTTTCAGTGGATTTAAAGCTGGTGAATTTTCAATTTATGATCAATCGAGTAACACATTACTTTATCGACTTGAATCACGTTATGGTATTACTCAAACAGCAGATCTTTATGCTTATCCAGGAAAACAAATGGTTGCTTCTATTAGAAATCTCTGGTCTCCATTCTGTAAGATATCAATTTGAAAATTTTTGATCATTATAAATAATAATGACTTCTTTTTATTAGTATATGATGCTGAAATTCAAGTATTTGACACCATTTTTAACCAATGGATTTTTGGAAGAATTACACAAGCTTTTCCTAATTATACTTTTCGTTATAATATTCAATATGCAAATCGACGTTTAATTATGGAACATAGACCATTTTCATTAACAACTGAAATTCGAAATGAACAATCATCAAACTATGTTCTTGCGCAAATGAAACTAAGCTTATCATCAATTATTTTGCCAAATAAATACGACTTACAAGTATATACAAATGAATTACCTGATGTTATCTATTTATTAGCAGTGGTTGCATATGATTATGATAATGGAAGAAATAGACGTTCTGTTCAAAATGGAAAGTAAAAGAATAAATGACATTTTTTTTCAATATGTTATTTTGTGCAAGATTTTGTCATAATAATAAATATTTCTATATGATATATTGAAAAAATTGCAACCGAAGATCTCAATAAAGTATTGACATTGCAACTGTATTTTTACGGAAAAAATAAGTTATCATACGTATTCATTTGTTTATCAATATCTGAAAAAGCAAGCTTCTCAAAATATAATTCTTCTCGTTTCTGTAGTTATTCCATGTTAAAAAAATTAATGTGTTCAACTTTTTCTATGATCATAATAAAACTTGCGATCTTTATTCATGATCGCTCTTATCTATACCATGTGCAATAATATCGCTAAGAAAAAAAATTTTGGATACTTTATAAAACATTTTTCTTTTATCGATCTTCGATCCGTTAAATTTAGTTGATTTAATCCACGAGACTTCGATATTTAAAATAAAGAAAGAAAAAAAAAAGAAAAATATGTCTCGATGTCTACGACACAAATAAAGATCATTCCCATCTTTTCATCTTCGCACATACATACATAAACATAAACTGTATTAACGATTTTGCATTTGAAATGCAACAATTTCAAACATATCCACTTTCTTCAATATCAATCTTGAAGAAAAACGAACTATTTAATAATAATAAAAATGATTACTCAGATAATATTTCTCGTTTTACATCAAATGATTCTGGTATCAGTTATGATAACAGTGATAATGATGATAGTGAAAGTATCTTTTCGAATGAATGTGATTTCGATTTTTCTTATCCAAATGATCTATCAACAATAACAATTACCGATGATGGTATTTGAAATATAGTTTTTTTTTTTCATAAGAATCAAAAATTTTTTATTTGTTTTTCTAGCTCATATGGCAGCAGTAATACGTGATGATGATAAAAAATATTTCTGTGAAAATACTGCTTGGGCTTGGCATGGCGAATTTGGTCGATTAATTATGGCAACTGCTATGACATATAATATTGACTATCGTCTTATGCTTTACGATGCACGTTTTACATGTCCTCGTGCATGGAATGCATCTTATTCTATGATGCAATTAGAAAATGCTAAAGCACAATTTAAATGTGATATTTGTGGACATTGTTGGACATCAATGCGTGCACGTTGTTCATTTTATATATCGAAACCAAATGAAGGCGGTATTGTTTTATTAAGACTCTATACACAACAATGTCAATATTGTTATTCAATTGTTCATCCATTGTGGTATTTCGGTAAATTTTGAACACAAAAAACAAACATATTATTTTTTGCAAATCGTTTTTCTTTGTTTCATTAGATGAAATTTGTCGAGTAATGAAAAACTTAGCATTAACAATTTTCAAATACTTTTTTCCCAATTCAATATCATCTATTTATTGGGATATAACACATAATGGTATTCAACCAGTTCGACGTTTATTTCAACGAAAAGGAAATATGCATACACAACATAATTCAACATTGTGCGAAGCATGTCATCTTGGTTTATGTTATTTATAAGATTTTGTTTTATTTTCTATCCATTCGATTTGTATTAAAAAAAGACTTGTTTTTGATTTCTTAAAATTATGTATATGTTATTGTTTTTTTTACGACGACTATATTTTTTTTTATATACGCTCTGTATGTTTAAACTATTGATATTCATGAAAAAGATAATATATGATTGATAATAGGATTTTCGATATAAAAAAATTTTATGATGTTATTCTTGATCTGTGAATATCGAAAGTCTAAATTCAAGTTAATATTTATTTCTGACTTCGACTTTGGAAATTTTCACTTAGCTAAGTTCAATGATGGAAAAACAAATGTTTCAATGTATTTTAAATATTATCTTTTGTTCTTAAAACTTATTTATCAAATATAAAATAGTTGTTCGATGTCATATTGAAATGATTAGTTCAATATTTATTGTAGAAGAAGATTTTACTTTAGTTTTTTTTTATATTGATAAGGCATATATGTTGCGTACAACCAAATTGTAATTAAAAAAAAACGAGAATAAATTCGCAAATTTATTTTTTAACTTCTTAATTATTCTAAGATTGCAAGTGATACATTGATAATTGATGTTTTGATAAGTATTAACGGTACATATCCAGATGTGACATTATCGATTTAAATAATATGTCGAGTCAATCTGATAAGCGTATATTTTCAATGTTCAATAGACCATAAAAACTAATCTTCTATGAATTCAATACAGAATTCAAGTATATTGACTTTTTTAACATTTCTAATAATCGAACTATTCTCTATTAGAAGATTTTTAATCAATATAACCAATAATGATGATTACAACGATCTTAGAAAATTTAAAACCTAATAAAACAGTTGGAAACATTCTTCACTTTAATCTGTTATGTCAATTTCATTATTCTTCTATCAATAAATAGTAGCAGGATGAGTACAAGATCAAAACAATCGTCCATGTTGATCCCCACTTATAGAAAAAAAAGAGTCGCTCATCATACATACGGTGGTAATAGAGAGGCAACAAAAACACTTTTTGTACATTTCAAAAAAAAAAAAAAGAAAAAAGTGCGCTAATCGAACACATTAAGTAAAGAGAAAGAATGCACACGTGCTGTTTGTTTGTCATCTAAGCCTGTTCAAGTGAGGTGAATGAACAATAGAGAGAAGACCCAAGAGTATGCTCATCATTGGATTGGATGTCAATATAGAAGAGAAAAAAAAAATCTATATATCGGAACAGCAAGCAACACGTGTCTATAATAATTAGCATCTAAGTCAATGATGAGAAAAACATCGGCTGTCTTTCTATTGCGGTCTTTTTCTTTAGTATTAAACATATTTTCAGCTTATCATTTTAGTGTATTGAATCGAATGATAGATTTTTATGTCTTATTCTTCCTTTTTAAAAAATAATTATGAGTTTAGAGAGGTGTGAAAACGATAAACGACATATATGTATTCAATGCCAATTAAATTGTCTTTGGTCATTAGACAGGAACAATCAAACAACAACAGAGTAGAATAAGTAAGAGAAGGCAGATGATTATTGAAGGTATTTCTTCCACTTGAATGAAATTTGACTCGTCAATAGATGAATTTCTATGGTAACAAGTTAAGTGGTGTCATAAGACATAAGCAGAACAGTTTCATGACTTCTATACGTTTCTCTTTTCTTTTCGTTTTTTTTGTCATTTGCTATTCATTGTTTTATTAGTAATGTTGTACTGAACAAATAGTAGCTCGACATACATACTTGATGATTGACACCATCGAAATACCTTTTTCCCCAATGGTAACTTCGTTCTTTCTTTTATTTGATTTCTCTCGTCTATGATTGGTACATAATTTCAAGAGACAGAGAGAGAAAGAATGAAACGAAAAAAAAATCAGTTCTTTCACCTGTCAATACATGTCACATACCTATACACAATTGGTCATACCATATATCATCATTTCATTCGATATTTTTTCCTGCTGATTTAAAACAGCAAATGTCGAATGTTAAAATAATTAAACCAATAGCTAAATATGCAAATGTTAATGGAAGTTTTCCACCACCAACAACAATAAAACCTTTAGCTGTTGCTGCTACAACATTAAAAGAAGGTTCAGTAGTGTATCTTCTTCATCAATTACCATATAATTTTCTTTTAACGGATTTTTATGATCATAATCAACATTATAATAAAATTCCGGTACGTATTAAACTATTGAATTTAGAATCTTTTATATTGTCTTATTTTTGTGTTGTCAAGATTTTTATTAAATGGAAATATATGGGTTTCGAAAGTGTCGGTTTTCATTTAATATTTAAACTTGAAAGCTCGAATTTGTTTTCGTTTGTTTCAAGTCTCTATAATCAGACCATGTGAATGGTATAGGTTTTGCATTAAGTACCTAAAGTTGAGCTGAAAATTCAGTAAAATGATCGGAAATCAACTCCAAGGGTCTACAAGGATGAGCCCTTTTAAGCTTTCTCTAGTCTCATCAAAGCATAATTCTAAGTTCAATATTAATTCAAACCGTAGTTAAAGATTTACAAGAGTAGCAAATAATATTGTATATATTTACAGATTCATTGTTGGAATCAACATTTAATTGGACCAGGACTTTTTCAAGAATGGATATTAGCAATAAAAAGTGCTCGTACACCAGACGAGCAAAATATTGAATTATTTCAATCATCTGAAACAAATGTATTTGGTTTTCGAACGACACGTTTAATTGTTCCCGATGAACCACTCCTTGCTTGGTTTAGTCTTCCACAATTACGTACAATATGTGAAAAAATTAAATTAGCAAAAATATTTAAAGTTGAAGAACTTCTTAAATGTAAGATTAAAACTTTTTTTTTTCGTTTACTAAGAAAAGAATTTTGCTTTTTGATAGCTACACGATGTCCTCGATGTAAAATTGAACAAAATTATTTAAATGTCTTAGTTGCACATGTTCTTCTTGATCAATGTCGTGATTCAACATCATCAATTAGCATGAATCTTAATGAACACTTATTAGTTCATACAACTCCAACAAAAAAATATGCAGTAGATGTTTCATCAACAAAAAAATCTTCATTATCTCCTCGTCCAAATTCAATTATTAATGATAAACAAAAAGACGAGGAAATAATAGAAAAACATGATGAACCACAAAAACCAATAACATTTTCATCAAATGATGTATCATCTTGCAAAATGAGTGTACTTGATGGTACACATGCATTAGAATTTACTTCATTGGATAATGATGGAAGACAACGTAAAGCTCATTTATGTCTTTTTTGTGGCAAAGTAAATTCATATTTATAATTTTATTTATTTATTGATTGAATTTCTTGTTTCATTTTAGATTTATAATCGCAAATATGGTTTAAAAATTCATCTTCGTACACATACTGGATATAAACCATTGCAATGTCGAGTTTGTTTTCGACCATTTAGTGATCCATCAAATCTTAATAAACATATACGTCTTCATTCAACAGCATCATCATCATCATCATCCGTATCCCATAAACGTCCTTTTGAAGAACAGGAAGAATTAAATATAGATAGTGATAGTTCAAATGTAAATGCAATGGATGATAACTAAAAAGAAAAATGTTTTTGATTTATACTTCAATTTGATTTTGTAATTAATAATATTCTATAGAAAAAAAAGATCAACTCTTAAATGCATTCTGTTTTTTTTTATTGTCATTTCTTTATTTGCTTTATCTTTGACTAAAATATAAATGTCCAGTATGTTTTCGTTCGGAATAAAGTTCTTTAATGTTTTCAATCAATGATTGTATTAGTTAATAAACAAAAGAAATCTTAAAATAACGTAAGAGACGATTTAAGTGAAATTTTTTTTTTGTTTTCAATAATTTTTTCTTTTGCCTACATGAATACCACGATCATTCTCAGGAAAATTGATTTTCGACTTAGAACTTTTCGCAGAGTCAGCTTTTAAGAAGAGTAACTGATTGTGAATGTTCCAGATTTTGTAGTTGCTTTTATCCTAAGATACAGGTATGGTAAAAACGTATCTTTCACATCGCTCATATATAAATTGACAGATTTTATGTTCTTTTTTCAGCATAGAAGCAAATCAAAAGACCTGAAACTTTTACAATAAACTATTCTCGTATTCTTAACTCAGACTACAGCATGCATTTAGAAACTACCATTAAAAAAGTAGTATCTACCTACGTATTGATGAGCTAAAACTTCGAATTCTTTTCAAGATATTCAAAGTTCATTTAAGTCTACATAATACACATAGTTTCGATTCAAAAGCGATTAATCAGTTGGAAGACTCTTCTCGTTAGAATAAACAATATGTAAGCATGATATCTATTTAACTAAACTCTGAAGATAAAAGGTTCATTAAGTGAGATTGATGATTCATTTAAAAAGTTTTTCTATAATCAATCAATAATGAATTTCTTTCTCATTCTATGGCTGATGATCTGTACTTCACCAGTGAGAAATTCCATAAGTCAAATTGAATTTAACAATAAATCAGATACAATTTGTGTTTATTTATATGGGTCAATGATACCATCAAAAGTAAATGCATTAAAAGTGAATTTTAATATTGCTCTTGACTTATCTCTCTGTCATTTTAATTATACAATTCAGAAAACCTCTCATTATCAATTAAATAATACTAAAGACATATTAATCATTCAATTATCATATGATTGTTCTTTGATTCAACAATTAGCAACTTTAAAAAATCTTGATTGGACGCAAAATTATTTTGCTATTATTTTTTCAAGTAAATAAATCTTGAATTTTTCATTCTTAATTCTGTTTCTTTTTTTTGTCAAAAGTAAATCATGATAATAAAAAATTTGAACATACATTATTATCATATATTGATAATCAAATAAAATCTTCTATTTCAATGTTGAATCATTCAAAATATTCATGGTCATTTGAATTTCCATTATATAGAAATCTAAATGATTATAGTTTAAATCAAACTAATATTGGTTTTATAGATGCAAACGAAGTTAAACACTTAAATAATATTCTTGCGAATCAAACAAATTTCTTATTATATCGTATTAATCGAGATAATATTCAATTTGATCCATGTATTTTTATTTTTATTAGTATTATCATTATCTGTATGTTAGTTGGTAATGAATGGCATCGTAGAGTTTATATGAAAAAAATCCTTAATCATTATGATAATTATAAATCAAAAACGAATAAATTTAAATATGGATTAATTGTTGGTTTATCATTATTAATTTCCTTTCTATTATTATATATTATTGATCAATATTGTACATTTATAATAGGATACGTATATTTATTTAGTTTTATGATATTTTCTTCACTTATTATTTATTTATGTTTTGAGAAATTCTGTTATTTGTTAATTAATAAGTTTTATCAAAAATTTATGAATAAGAATTTTAAATTAAATTATATTTATCAATTGTTTAGATTAATTCTTTTATTTATTTCATTTATTATGATTGTATTATGGTTTTTAAATAGATTTACATATATGGGATTTATTATGACGAATTTTATTGTGTTTTTTATAACAATTGTAATTATTGTACAAATGAGGATTGTTAATCTAATAATATGTATGATTATTTTTGCTTTTATATTTATATTTGAAATTTCATCATTATTTATAATAGGCAATGGTATTTTGTATGAATATATATATATATATTTGAATGAAAGAATTTTTTGATTTTAGAGTTTATAAAACCATATAAGCGAAATGCAATGATTATTAATCCAGAATTTCCAATGATTATTTGGAAACTCAATGGAGATAATCGAAATTGGATTGATGTAGAATTTATTCAACATTTATATATAAATATGGTAAATAGTGTACCTGAGAAGCTCCTTAGCAAAAACTTTCTCGTATATCTTGACTATGCGATTCAAATTTACCAATGAACGAGGAAGCACTTCCAAGTGATCTACTTCGTTTGCTTTCTTATGTAGGAAATTATTAGACTAGTGTAACTTCCAAAAGATTCTTGTTTATACTTAGATTTGGTCGAGATAGAAAATTTTTAGCGAGTTCCTTTTGCTGAAGTCCATTTTTCGAAAAGAGTCATACTTGGAAATTTTAATTTAAAACTTCGTACACATGAAGATTGCGATTAGACTATCTTATGTAAATTTCATCAGTTACACAGCATTTAAAGAAAAACATAGATACATTGAAAAGCCTATATCTTAGTTAATTCGATATTCCGAACTGATGAAACTTTATTCATGAGATAGTTTAATGAAGATCTTCATGTGTACAAAGTTATAGATCGAAATTTTCAAATACGGCTCTATTCGAACTCCAGGAAGTGAAATCTACTAAAAACTAGTTATCTTGACCAAATTTAAGCAAAAGCAGGAATCCTTTAGAAGGTACATTACTTTAGTGATCTACTACATAGGAAGGCAAATGAGGTAGATAACTTGAAAATATTCTTTCCTAAGCTTTTTTTTTAATCAAACGCCTATATACTCAGTTTTTATTCGAGCAAACTTCAAAAGCACTCTTCAAAGCTATCATCTCTAACTGACACAAAAATTTAACTCTTTATTCTATCTTTAGAAAGACATAATTCAACCATGATTTTTATTTTTAAAGTGCTTCATTTTCTGGGATTGCAGACGAATCTTTGTAAATTTTTTTTTCTACATAGAGGAAAAAGGCTAAATTGAAAGTTTTTTTTTTAAAATTTGTTTTTTTTATACTAATTTAGTTTGAAAATAGTGGCTTAGATTGTTTATTAAGTGGTGGAAGTATGAATTTTTTAAAAATAAATGCTATGAAATGGATTATAAAAGAAAATATACCATTTGTATTTAATTTTTCTCGATTGATTAGAAATAATGATGAGTAAAATAAATATTTTTACCGAATTGATTATAGAATTTTTCTTTGTCTAGTTGTGATTTTCATGCTGGTCGAATTTATTTATCAATTGATGATATCATTTTTCCATCATTATTAATTAATTTTTGTCGTTTATTTGATATTGGAAATAATATTCATTCTCGAATTTATTATATTCAAGTATTAATTAGTTATACTGTCGCATTGTTTCTCTCATATGTAATAATGATTATCACTAAACGTGATCAATTATCATCAATTGTCATTTATCCATTCATAGTTTTATCAACAATTTTAACAGGAGTAATACGAGGGGAATGTCGGAAACTATTAAAAGGAACATTAACAACATTTGAGGAACGTCAAAGTAACGCGAGAAAAAACTCTTTCTAAGTATTTTAAATTATTCGGAAACCTTCAAACAAATGTATTGGTAATTGGATTTGGAAAAATTACAGTTAATTTTTTAATAGATAACATAGTACATTCAATGAATACAACGCAATGGATGAAGATGATTTTTATTTGGGTTCGCCTGCTTTAAAAAGCTAGATCGAATCGCACGACCTTAATTGATTGTTCAAGGTGAAAATTCAACTACATTCTGATTCTAACCTTTGTCATTATCTCTTTTATTGAATACTATAATCAATATCAATAGGGAACATTATATCCAAAAAAGTCCACACTATTCGTATGAATAAACTGATATATAGTTTCTGAATAATCTTTGATTGAACCATACCTAGATAAATACGATTGTTTGTTAGAAAAAAAGTTCGTTTTCTTTATAAAATTTATTAATAATTGAAGATAATTAACACAAGACAGTACGAAAATATAGAACATGTCTTGTTTTAATACCAGAATATCTTTGTTTTTTGTTATTTTGGCTAAATTACTAAAAATAACATTATAAGCAAATGTATTAAATATCTTTATTATTCACGATTATTAGTGGGTTCAGAACCACTTTGGTTATCTGGAATGACTTGACTTCGATTAGAAACAGCTTCTAATATTTCGTTACTCGAATAGTCAACTGTACTTCTATTAGTTACACTTGTTTGAGCTTTTGCAAAACCTTGTAATGGATCTGGATGAATTAACTGATCACCAGCTGACTATCACCTAAAGAACGTAATTTTAGAGTATACATTTATCTAAATTTTCATTATATAAACCAGTTTCGATAGAATCATCTCGAGTACGACCTTCTTTGCCAGCAATATCTCTATTCGAACCTCGTACAAAATTTGTTTGAGATATGTTTCTTTGGCAAGTAAAATAAATCTATTCGATTACTCAGGATGTGAGGTGTAATCATCACGTGGGTGTGGGTGTGGGTGTCAATCGCTGCACTCCCATTCTCACCCACAGCCTGCCCAACAGAATTATAAAATGGTCATCGCTGCATTATTCCACGATTTGTTTGGAACTACTGAAAAGCAAAGTATTCAACAATTGAATATTAATCTTAAAAAGTCCCTGCAATGTCTTTTACATTTGATTGACAAAAGCATGCAGCGTCTCAACCAAAATCCGTGCGTCTTGAATTGACGTGGGATTACTAGGCGATTTTCTCTCACGAAATTGCAATAGTTTTGTAGCAAACTCAAGGGCCAATTGGTATTTGTCGTTTTCCTTGTATTTGTCAATAAGTAATAAGTAAGTGTGCTCTATTTTTGGATGGTCTGTTGGTAAACATGCAAATCGCACGGAGA